GCTGATTCCCGTTGGTTCACGCACCAGCTGACCATGGAGGCGATCGGATATTGCAATGCCGACCCCATGTTCACGTGGTGCTGAGGTGGCGTTGTCCACCCAGTAGAATGTGTAGCCAGCACCTGCTTCATGCAACTTACCTTGCTCAGCGGGCCGAGTTTCACTTAGCGCCGCAATATCGATGTTTCAGCGCACCAGCTCCATCACGACGAGTGCAGTGCGTCGCTCCGGGCGCTCGCTGGAGTTCCGGTCCAGGAGTGTGCGCACGTTCCAGCACCCGATGCTGAGTGCTTTGCGCGCAGGCATACGATTGCATTGGTGGGCAATCGCACGCGAGGTGGTCGTTGTGCTTCGGAGGTTTGCTTGAGGGACTCCACCCGGAGCCTTTGGCTCAATAGCCTGATCCACAAGACAGTGGGTGGTTTGGAGGTTTGCTTGAGGGACTCCGCCCGTAGCCTTTGGCTCAATAGCCTGACCCACAAGGCATTGGGGAGCAGATCCAGCTCGGGAATGTGATTGCAGAGACAGATGGGTATCTGCTTGACGGCCGTCACACGCAGCCTTTGAGGTACTGGAACAATTATTATATGTTTTCCGACCGTGGTAGGATACGCACATGCGACCACGGCCAGACGCAGGTGGGTTTTTGCCGGGTTTGCACCAATTTGATCAGGGGGTGCCTGGCTTGAGGCGGGCAGTAGCAAACCATTGAACACCCGTAGGTGTCCTCCCCCCGTCAGAGACGATGCGTGGCACTCGTGCTCTACGCCCATCGAGCTGTGAGCTTATAACCCGTAAACCTGTTGTCTCCCATGGCTAGGTTTTACGGGAAGAGGGCCATCGACCACTTCCTAACCTCCGAAGAGGATGGACTAGGATACTGGCAGGGCGCCCACACCGGACGGAAGAACGACTCGGGTCCTCAGTCAAAGCCTTCGATTAAATATACACCCGAAAGGCAGCGGGTCTAGCACATGGTCAGTTCACTGAGTCATGCGCATTGGTGTCCTGGATCGTAGCAGGGAGAAGGGCGAAACCCAACTTCCACCCAGCGGTCGCTACGTGGAGGCGCCCAGGACATGAGACTATGGCTCAACAGTAGCAGCAATGGGTAGACCATCTGCCAGGATCTAGCCACCACTAGCCTCAGCGCACCATAGGCTCTCGCGCCATATATATATATATATATATATATATATATATATATATATATATATATATATATATCTTCTTCACCGCAGTTGGGCTAAACCAACTTACACTTAAACTAGGTCTTTTTAAGCTGGATAAATTTCATTCCACTTTATTTGGTTTGTTCTGCCTACCTGAATAATCTTCCCTCAACTGGCCACGTTGCTTTCGCTAATTGCGCTTATCTTCGGTAATTTTGTTGCGTTTGTAGCATTTTTAAGTAACGTGGACATTTTTTACTTATCACGGATTCGTTGCTAACCAACTTACTTCATATTGTAATTTAGCGAAGAGTTATGTCACCGTATCTGTATGCATTATTGGATTTATTTTATTTCATCTTGTCGTTTCAAGTGAATGGCTGTTGTTTGATATCCCCAGAGTGGCTGCGCTTGATGTGTATGTTGACAAGGTGCCTACCTGTCTATTACCCACTACCTCGTTCATACTGGCTCCAGGAGACAGTTGGTCGTTGCTGGAGGGGACGGGGTGCACGTTCCTTGTGGTCGTGCTAGGCTCGAAGAGTGGTTCCATGCAGTCAGTGTGGAGCGGACTACGGTCCAGCCACCGCCTTGTGTGCACTTGATTCCCCAAATACAGCGTGCTTGTGTTTGTCTGTGAAGGAGTGTGGGCCGGCTCCGTTGATGAAACGTGGTTCCCATCCGCATACCGCCCGGTCTTATCCCTTCGGGTTTACACTGGATATGGGGTGTGTGGTTGGAGCTGTGGGTGGTGCAGCGCAAGCCATCCATGGTCCCTCTGTAGGCGCAGGCGTCCTGTGGCTTGCCACAGTGACAGGCAAATCCGGAACCAGATGCCGCCAACCATATATATATATATATATATATATATATATATATATATATATATATATATATATATATAAATGCATGCTGTAACAAGGGTTACTCTGCCTCAAGAAAACAATATGCAACACTGACTTGGAGGATACTATGACCTCACTTGGAATCCTGTGTGCAGGCCTGGGCGCCGTATTACTGTGAGGATGTCGTCTAGCTAAAACGTAGCAAAAAGTTTTTGGTTAAAATGGTTGAAGGCCGGCAATTAAAGTCATATGGTGTACGCAGAAGTTTTAATTGTTTTCCTTGGAATGGTTTGTATTTTGAGTGGACCTGATAAGTTTGTTCAATGTTAACTAGGGCTTAGATGCTATCCATTCTTACGTTCTGCTTGAACGAGTGGCGTCAAGCAACTTGCGATGACGTCAACTTGTACTCAAACATTAGATGTCCGTGCTTGATAATATCAGGGCGGAAGTTTTTGCGAATCGTGCTGTTCGCAATTGCTACAAGTTCCTCCATCTCAGTGGAATATATTGCTATCATCATCATCATGTACGTTAGCTAGAGGCGAAAAACACCTCAGCTGCTGTGCCGCAATACATATAATACTATGGAAACTTTCAGAAAAGGCTTGGATAGATGTTGGCTGGATATTTTGCTGGAATTGTAAGTCTTTTGGATCTTGTCGCTGAGACGTCAAAATGTAAGGATCCGTTTTGTTCTTGCTTCACTCCTTTTTCTGAAGCAAGCAAAGTCAATTGGACTTCTAAGTACCGGGGCCTTGGTTTGCTTGCCGGTGCAATAAAGTGTACACTCGTTTGGCGGAAGCTTATATCGTCATTGGAACTTGACCTAACCTGATCTAAGTCAGTCACCATTGCGCCAGGTGAGGTTACCTTAGGGTCACTGATGCTCGCGTGCGGCTCTTCTAATCTGCTATACATCATCATAAGGACGTGGTCAATGCAGCCTTGATTTCGATGCAACGCGGTCTGCTCTTCACCAATCTGACTTTCACAAACAATGGCATCTGCAGTACGCCGGTACGCCCTACTGATATTTCGCTGCCGCGCAACCACCACCGGTCGCACATGGGCTACGATACTGCGGGGGTCGCCCTGCCCCTACGCAGGCTCGAATCAACGCCGCCAGATTACAAGACAAGCTTGTTAACTTTGGGCTACAGGCTGGCATCTGACTTTCACGGGGACCAATCAATTTCTGAATAACAACAGATATGTAAGTTCGACCTGAGGTTGATCATACTGATTGGGTTGACTCGCCGCCGGTTCTCACTGTTACCGTACAATTGCCCGAGTTGGTGGACTGGTTTACTTGCTCAGGTGGCTGCACCACCTCTTAGAGACGCGTGGCTCTTCGTGACTTCAGTCGTTTATGGAGGCAGTAGGATATAAATCTCATGGCTAAGGAAAGAGTTTACAGTGCTGTAGAGCAACCAATGTTACAACATCTCGTTAGCAGGAGGACCTAAGTAATCGAAAAGCCTGACACGCATCCATAAAATCGGATCCCTGACATAGAAATCCGTCAGAAAATCTTATTGATGGATCATAAGACCAACCTGTTACTATTATTGATAAGTAAACAATAAAGGAGAACGTTCAGAAAGGTTAACCGCGCCGCCACCACTAGCATACTCTACGTAGGCGTTTTGTTTCTTCTGGCGAATAAACTGATACTTGAAGTCTGTCTTCTTATCAACCAATCAGAGCAGTTAGGGTGACCTTGGGAACCATGACACATCTGTTAGAGACCTTACCGCTAAACACCGCATCGCGTCTGACCACTATGCTTTGCGAACTACTGCTCTCATCTGGTGGAGGGAGAACGGAGCGAGTAATTTTGTTTTTGTGTTTGCACCGATCTTCCGGTGCCTCGTTTGAGTGCTTGTTTGACTGAATTCGTTTCCACTGGCTCCTCACTGTGCCTCAACGTATATTATTTACCAATACTGCGTCTATTTTTGTAAAAACACCTGATTGATCAACCATTGATATGACAAATTTGCTTGAAAATATTCCGGAGGACGGAGTAGTGTTATTGCTTATCCAACGAACTCCATCTATTTGGGATGATACATCTGCGAATTCAAAGGTCTTCTTGCATTTGTTCTCTATTTTCTGACATGACTATTCCATCTCGATTTCTATTTTTGTCCGTTTTTTTTCTGAATTATTATTCCTCCCATCATTATTATTTTGGCGATAGGTGTCATTTTAACTAACTTCACTGCGCACCGGTTCGCGGATAACAGTTGACAACGATCTCAACAGAGGGCTAGCGAACTCTCGTGGTCTAACACGGCTGGTAGCCTTAAGGATCACAAATCTGCCTTGTAATCCGAGGGGGCCTGTTAGATCCTGCGTAGGGACCGGACAACCCTCGCAGTATCCTTAGTCCACATGCGATTGTTGGTGGTTGCTCGTCAGCAGCAAAGCGTCAGTACGACATACTTTGATACCCCACCCAGCCGCCATTGAAGCGCTTCCTAATAGACAGACAGTGTGCTGCATTCGGTGGCATGTACCTCGAACCTTCAAGGGACAATCTACAGCTACCGAACTGAGTCATTGAACCAATGGTTCTCATAAGTGCCGCACGGCCACTGGGATTGGGGAAGCGGAGTCACTTAGCTACACAGATGTATCATTTACGGTGCTCAGAATATTCGAGGTATTTTGTCCAAACTGGCACATGTATCATCCATTGGGAGGGTTATGCATTACTGTATTGATCAGGAGTGGAATGCCTGACGCTACGATTCGGCGCTCGATACTCCAAGGATGAGGATCATCAAGGGCTGGTAATCTTTTAACGCTGGGATCTGTGAAACTTCACTTATCCTTTGGTATCATAGAGTGACTGATACGAAAGCTTTTCAAACATTAGCCTTCGTGATACAGTGATTTCATGAACACTATACCCTTCATGCACCAGTTAACCACATTGCTTCTATCAAATGGTATATTACTCCCAACCTTCCAGCTCATTACCCCAGTTCAGTATGTTCGACGCAATCACGTGAACAAGGATCTGCTCGATCGGCTTGGTTTGGAGACGAGTCTGAAGGTAGGTTACTTGCAGATTTTCCACTAATTACTTTGCCAGGGTCATCGTGGTTGTGTAAACTGTCTTGAATGGAACCATCGGGGAACGTTGTTGGCCAGTGGATCCGATGACTTTTGTATCATCATCTGGAATCCATTCGAGAGAAGAAATATCTTCACGATGCATACGGGGCATGCTGGAAATATATTCTCAGTGAAATTCTTGCCCAATGTCAACGTGAGTTGCGTCCCCATTAGTCTAATTCTTTTCTTAACAAGGAATACCTCATGGTTACCGGGGCTGCAGACGCTAAAGTTCGAGTGCATGATGTCCGCCACATGGAAACTCGACATATTTTCTCGTGTCATCATCGAAGGATCAAACGTCTGGCGAATGTTCCGGCAGAACCGTATTTGTTTTGGTCCGCCTCCGAAGACGGCACTGTTCGACAGTTTGATCTACGCGATCCCAGTCAGGTATGCACCTTCAGCTTGAGTCTGTAATTCTCACTCCACATTAGCGGACGCATTTGTATTTGTGTTTCTTCTATACAGGGTTTTACCACTTCAAGTCGGATGCTTCATCTGTTTAGTTTAGCCATCCCATTTTCGCATCGATTATTTGTGATTACGTACCGTTCTCTACTGAACTAGCTTCTTGTTATACGATATCTTGGAAAATGCTTGGAAGCGATCGGGTAGTTATGATTTCAGAGGGACCTGGTAACAACCGGTTAATGTACTTTCCGGGCAGCGTTTCGCCCTTAACACGAAGGCTTCTTCAAGCCAAATGAGCTGGCTTACAACTACATGACATTTTATAGCAAACGTGAACGAAAATTTATACCAAGGATACGCCGCTCAGAGGGAAGTTACGAGTTTATATCAAACTGCCATGTTAAATGGTTCAGTGAAACTGAATTGCTTAGATGACTGATGCGTAAGAAACTGGGGGTTGGGATGCCGTTGATAATCCACCCGGTGTTACTGACTGGGCATTCGACGACACCTTTACCCATTCTCTTCTGTTTAAGTAGTTGTTAGCTTTCTGGACTTTACCGCTGCACACTGCGTTTCTATTCATGGTAACTCGTTAACCGCACCCACACAGCAGTGACAGTAACAGTGCACCAATGCTTTGTGATGACGCACCGCCACTGGGAAATTACGGTTGCCCCACTAATGGCTAAGTGGAAGATGAACGAGAAGAATCGCATCCCATCAGTTTGACTTGTCTCAAGGTGTCTGCACTCTGCCAACACGACACGACACGGTCACAAGCACTTACTTTTTACTGCTCGGAGTCATAATCAATAATGCCCCACAGACGTCTCCGCACATGCCTTTAGCAAGCAATTTGACCAACTAACGACAGCGGATAGCTCACTGGTGCCGAGTGTAAGTTATGTAATTTGTTGTTCAGATCATGGACTCTAATCTGGATATCAAAATGGACCAACCGCATCCAATCTAACCACTAGCCGCTGGACTCCACTACCACTGGTGTGTAAATGGTTGCCCCAACAGCGCGTGAACAAAACGAAGCGGTCCTCTGTGTGCAACGAACGAGCACATGATTCTCATGGCTAACTCATCCCTGATCTCTCAGTATTATTTTCCAATCTCACAAAGCGACATACTTTCCAGCACCCAGTACTTGTCTGCGCTCCTCACCGCTACGAGTACGGTGGTTCTAGCCGACACTAGCAGTGTTTCGTAGACAGCTGTTGTCGAGAAAGCCCTCCGTGCAATAGACGAGCATCCTCACGTAGATGTGGCAACTGCTCACCGTTATCATTACGGGAGCGTACACCGTATTGGCCGCCAAGATGAAGCTTATCATTAGAATATTTTACAACTTAGGAGCTCAGATCGCCAGCCACTAGTGTTCCTACTTTTGTAACGGATGAACTTATTCAGTGGACAAGTCATCCTTTTGTGGGGACGTTAGATAGCGATGACAAATAATCACCTGTTGTCCCAGTGCGTTTCCGAAGCCTTGAACGAGAAACCCAGTCATGCGATACGCATCCAGCTGGATTGATATCCAGTCTATCAGATCAGCTTCCGTCTTGTAGCTCAACGCAATGCCTACACATGTTTGACTAGCATAAGGAGCTTCTTTATCTCCGGATATACGCAATGAGAAAGGGAATCATAAAAGAACACAGCACTTGAGTCTCGCAGTATGGTCTTGCATAAGCGACAGATATCGATCGATACGATACTCGGGCAAGTGTCACCTGTTAACCGATCTGCTAAAAAGTGCACACGTTGGGACATTTGAGCTTTGACGAGGATCGAAGGCTCAACACTAGAAACAGATGTGCTGATGTCGTCCGCCTGGTTGGACATCTACTTGTCGACTGGATCGAAGTAACGCCGTGCGATTGTGTGTGATTCAAAACTAGATGAACGCCTATCAAATCGAAATGGTTAGGGCCAAGAACTGATTGTTGAATGGAGGAAGTTACAAGTCGGAATGAAATGATGGGGATGAATAAACATAAGGTGCAAAATGAAAAAACCAGTAAGGCCTGTGCAGAGCATCCTCACTCTTATCCACTCCGCTCGATGCAGCAGATAGGGCACCGGCGATTATCCTCCTCGACGGTCACAGCATCGCGAGATTGTTTTAAGGGAAGTTTACTGTGTTGCGTGAGCAAGGTACTGTCAGGTTGCACATGCCTAGAGATGAGAACGTGTGGGGTTCTCAACCAAACGCTTCAGTCCCTAAATCTGGCCACAACATTGTTAAGGTTCGGCAGTAATCTACAGGGAGTCCTTTCAATGACTAAGGAACGATTCACTCCAACCGTAAACCTGTAGGACCAGGAAACTGTTAGTCTGCCTTCGGATCATTGACCAGTCTAATATGAGTGGCTCTGAATGTGCAGAAAGCACCACCCAGCATAGTTCAATTATTCGTTCAATGCCAGTGTATAAGCTTGTCAGTGCGACGACATTCCCTTTCACCACTGAAATATTACAGTTTTCATCCATGCTGCAGATATCTGCCTAGAAGACTCTGATTGGACTGAAGCATGTCACTTCGAGATTTCTGACCATAAACTCACTACTGAATCGGTCCCTATTTTTTGAAATGTTCATCATACTCAGACCTAATTAAATAACCGCACCTATGAAAAAGCGCTGGAATACGGCTTTCTTTTCTTGGGATTCTTCGGCGGTGCATATGTACCTCCCCTTTTATTCCGAGTGCTTTGAATCCCTCGCTTTCTTGCTTCGAAGTAGCGGCTTAAGCCACAATCATGGTCGACCAGTATAACTGCTTACTTGCTGATCCCCGTGCTAATAACTTCGACTTTTTGCTTTAAATCATATCACCAATGTTCCTAATTAGGCAAGATGACTTCACAACATTCGATTTGATGGCATACTTGCGTTATTACCGGCAAACCGTGGCGGGCTCATTGTTCTGAACTCTATTTAAATTGTTTTTTTTTCGAGGATTATCTTCGTTTTTTGACCGATGATCCTCTCTGGACTATAGCACCTGCAGAATTCTTCTTTGTTGCAGTTCTCTCTTTCTCATGATCCCCCCGCGATATTGTCCTGTAGTCTCGGTCCTTGAGCAGACACAGTCCTGTTACAATCACCTTTCTGTTCACGCAAAATTTGGTTGATTCTGTTACTTAGTGCACATATAATCATTATTTCACCTATTTGCTTGATATTCCAACCCAACTGCAGGCATGTGTAACCCGATCAAAGGCGTCCTTTAATCAATCGTAAATGGACTCTTGGTTGCTATCGGGCTTTACCTGAACTTATACGACACGGACTTATCAACGTTAGTTAACTCTCGACGCGCTGTAGGGAGTTTGCTGTAACATCATCACGTTGTTTGCTGCAAAATCCTGGTGCTAGCTACTTTCATGTTATTTTTGTGCGTCTCATAATCCGGCTCAACTTTCTTTTAGTTACGTCTGCGCACAGCAATCGCGAGACTTTTTCTTACTTTATTTACACAATTGTTCAGTAAGAATATAGACAGCGTTGTTGGGACCAACTCAGCGATTTAGGATTTTAACAGGGGTTGAAAACGATTGGATGGCGTGGATGTGCTTTTATCATTGATTGACCCACCACCACTTTACGATGAGCCTCATCCCCGTTTGGACTACTCAGTTCGGAACAGTTGGAAGCATGTCACAAACTCGCGATCTCACGGTTTACGGACAGCCATCTCAGCCTCTAGATTATCGAGCTCCGCGAGCGACGTCAACTTTTGGTACTACCCCCTACTATCATGGTCCGTTCAATCGCTGATTAACTTCCCGTTTATCAAGAAAAGCGAAACTTCGCGCAGATATTAGTCCTTCTCAACATGGTTACTACCCAGATTTACACACTTCTCTCATCGTTTTGTGCAGTTGATTAGACCACGTTTGCAGAATTCTCCAGACAGGGCCAAAAGCCATGGCGTGACCTCAGAAAGTAGCCGCATTGTCAAGAAAATGTTTTCTCTTCAGAAATGTCTTCAAATTAGGAAATAGGTGAAAATCTGATTTCCTTCTGTCTGAGCGACTTTTGTGTTATAAGCAGGGGTGCGCCTCTTTCTTGAGAATCATCCTTAGTTGGCGCAGTAATGAAGCATATCTCATACGTAATTTGTGTTATACGGCATTGTATTTCCTTTTTAATTCATGTATTTTGCAATGTTTTTATTGCGGCACATTGGTTGTGTGTCTCTCACCTTCAGCTATCGTGTATTTCTGATGTTTTGCTACTAGTAGTAAAACAGTGTGTTCCGGTAACACTGACCTCTTTGCGAAGGGAACATATCTTGATTGCTTCGTACTGCTCCTAGACGATTGGGAGCACTACCTTGCTGGTCGTAGATTGGACACCTGCACTCTTTGGGTGTGGCAGATCACCATCTTTCCAATCTTTGACCGCGCATTGGTTTCAGAATCGTAGTATACTCATGTTTTATCTTGTGCAATTATTTCGCTGGGACATGCTCAAATGATTCTGAGAACCTATGACCCTTTCTTGCTTCTAATAAGTGTGGGCAGCCGGGGAGCCCTTAGGGATGACTAACATGAGATGTTAACATGGTCATTGATAATTTTTGACAAATACCCCGCACGCATCTTGACATATCTTGTCTTTTGGCCCATCGCAATGAGGCTGGACCTTACCGTGGTGCGATGATTTGCGTGCTTCATAGATTCATTGAAGGTCACGGGTAGACAGTAGTACACAGACGGGTTCGCTGTTACGTGTGGCAAATACTTCGGGTGTTAAGCGACCACTACATATGATACTTCACTGTTCTGTTTAAAACGTCACCATCCACAAGTCACAAGCGAATGAATGCATTCTTGTATGAGTGATAGTACCTTCGTAAGCCAAACTCCTCGTTACTTGTGGACAAATGTTATATCACTAACAAATAAATACGGCACACCATGTTTGTTAACCGAACTGCTATCATCGACACAAAGTAA